TTTTTTTTTTTGGTACAGCCATTTTTTCGCTTTTTTTTTTTGGTCTGCAGGTTGTAGACATTTTGAATCGAAATTTTTAGCTATAGAAATTACGGATTGAAATTATGATTTTTATGCTTTGTATTTATCCGCTTTTCTTGTATAATAACCGCAACTGTTTGAACTTTTGTTATCAGTTATGTTATTGGCTAGCGTGTTTGTTTTTCATTTTTGCTGATATTTCAGTTTTAAAATTTATTGCCAAAACGATTTGACGATTTGTTTCAACGATTTGTTTAGCAAGCTTACAAAAGCTTTATGTTTACGTTGGAGGTAAATCTGGGGCGAAGCAATTGTTGTGTTATTTTTAGGGTTCGCACTATTTGTTGAACTTTTCATCCTCAAATTTCTTTTCGGCAACAGAATATCTAATGGAAGAGATAAATAACAGTAAACTTCCAGTAATTCCGTTTTTTTACACTTGTAGACAGGTGGCAAGACGTGAGAGTAAAGTGAATGATCATTCAGCACTGTAAAACCATTGGAGTAACTTAGATTTGTGGTTGGAGGTGAACAAATTGAGGAGCAAGTTCTACTACTCAGCATTACTTATTGTTTTTGGGCAAATGCTAGTCATGCTGCATTTTTATGGCACTTATTCTTCAGTTTTAAGCACTTAAAAACAAAAAATAAATGGTCAAGTTGTTTTTTTTTTTCACTTGCAGACGAGGAAAATGCATTAGGTAGTATTTAGTTTAATTATGGGGATATTTTTAATGACACTTTTGGAAGCTCTGAACACTCGCTGTTAATCTGCTAAAAGGAGCCTCACGGTTCAAGGCGAGGCAGCTGAAGTCTGGCTTGAAGGACAAGTGATTTTCAGACAAATTGCTATTACACCTGGTCATGTTAGCATGTTTGTTCTTTTAGTTTTTAGGAATTTACTCGATTTTTTATGGAAGAAGTCTTTTTGAAGCTCAGGAATTAAGTGAGTAATAGTTTTCAAATTTTATCATAAGTTTGAACCATATTTTCATTCCTGTTATAAATCTTAAATTATGTAACTTTTTTTTTTTTAGAGGGAGGAGGAGTTGTACTTGGTTTTGATACTCTATTTTTAGGTAACAGTCGATGATTAGTTAGAGGTCTATATAAATCTTCACTTTTTGCAGTCAGTAGATAGTGACCGTCGATTTGCCTCAACAAAGGTAGTTTTCAAAAGGAAAATCACACTATGGTCGTTGAAGTACTAAAATGTAAATAGTTTTTTCTGTTCGTTCACACGGTTTTTTTTCCCCTATCTAATTTATATTTTTATCTTGTCTTTGGGGCTTGTATTTGAGTAGTTAGTTTGTATTCTGCAAAAAATTTCTGCTATTAGGTTCATGCAGGAAAAAGTTTGAATGCAAATTTTGGCTTTATTATTTCTTAAAATAAAGAGTCATGCGCGATCAAACTTCTTTTTTGAAGTTACGGCCGTTACGAGTGGTTCATTAGAATTAGGATCTGCAGTCTTAGTGTTCCGAAAAACTAGTCCCGGCAGGGTATAAATTTATGGTCTCACATTGTGCTGTTTTAAGAAAGCTTTTCAGAGTCTGAGACAACGATTTAGACGAAGCGCTGAAATTTCGTTTACACTTCTGTACTTTCGTACAGTCGATCGGTCTTCAAGCTTGTATTTTTTCCACTCGAGAACAAACATTCAGAAGGAAAAATTACTTTTGCTGATCTCGTTTCGTTTTTTTATCTTTTATTTTTCTGTTTTGTTTTATTAGAACTTATTTGTTCGTCTATTTATATTTTTCTCTGTAATTGGGAAGTTGCAAAGTAGAAATCGGACCAATTGCAATAGTAGCTTCTTTTGTCTGTTTTCAAATTCTGAATGTTTAGTTCTGCAGTTGTAATGCTGAAATTGTTTTTCAACAAAGAACAGCATGTGAAGATTCCGCTCATCTATAAAAAGCATTCCTAGGTTTGAGAAGTCTTTTTATGTTATCTTGGAACCAGTAGCGTTTGGTTCAGCGGATTAAGAGGCTTTTTGTTATATAACTTTTCAACCTTGGAGAATATTGACCTGGCGTTTTGTGTGGGAAGTATTATCTTTTGCGCTGCTCACTACCAGTATAGAAATATTGGCGAAGCAATTTTTGGGCAGCGACAACCAGGGACATTTTGTGGCTGTCAGATTTTTTATCGACTCTTTTTAAACATTTTACCGACTAATTGGATGCAATTTATTATGCAGCTTGTTAGAAGGACTTGTTTGCGTAATTTTGGAGCATTCTTTGAATTGGAACCTACTTCAATGTTTCGCTCAAGCTATTGGCTAGATTTTAATTAGAAAAAGCTAAAAACACTGGGGGTAAAATTGTTTTTTGCCTTTTTCAGCTTGTTGGACCATTTGTTGTGACGAAGCTGTGCTATAAGGGGCGGCACAATTATGAAAACTTAAGACATTTAGAGCTGTTGAGATTGGACAAGGCTTTATGAATTTCAAGTGACTTTATGTTTTTTTTTAGTAAAAAGCTGTTTGCATGAATAAGAGATTTTCCAATGTTCAAAAGAGGTAGGACAGAATGCGCTTCAGTTACGAAGTTAATTTGCAGCTGTTTTAACTTCAGAATGATTAATTTAGCTGTTATATTATTTAACTTTCTGCGAGGTAACAACTGCTTGTGAATCTGCCATATTTGGCTAACAGGCGTACCGGACTTTCTGTCTTGTTTTTCAAGGGAATCAGTTTTCGTGCTGAGTAGCTTCACATCTTGCTGAAAAATATTGTCTAAATCAAGGTTGCTTGGTTGGTACCACCTTAATGCGATTTGTATTCATTTTTTCACTGTTGACTTCTCTGACTGTTTTTAATTATAGCCATACTGATTGCTTAAAGTCATCATCAGTTGCACTGCGCAAGTACAGAAAGCATGTTCATTGTGGCAAACGATGCGTGAACCTTGTAATTGCATTGCCCGAGAACGAAGAACCGAGGATTAAAAATCCATTCCAAGTGACTATTCTAAAAAGTAGACCCGTTATTGACTTAGCATTGAAAAATGTTTATGATAAACATTTGTTATCTAGAGGGTATTTACGAGTTTCTTACGTAGATACTAATCTTAGTGATGCTCTTGGGCCGCAACGTGTTATTGACCGATACTGTAAAGGTACAGTTGATGCGGTTATGGGCACTAGTTTTCCTTACGTTCTAGCGATTATTGCTAGACTATCACAGTACTGGGGAAAAGGAGTTCCAGTTATTTCAACCACAGCTTTAATTGAAAATTTCGGTAATAAAAATGAATTTCCACTTCTGACTAGAATTACTGGATCCTACATAACTTTAGCTCGTTTCGCGTCGTTGGTTATCAGAGATCTTCACTGGAAGAATAAAGTTCACTTCATATTTTATGACGAGCTTACTCAGAAGAGTGTTCGTGCCCGAACGGAATATTTTTTTGCGTCTTCAGCTATAAAAAATGAATTGCAGAAGGAAAATATTACTTTTAGTTATGAGGTGTTCAAAACTGACGTCGATATTTTTGAGACCTATATTCAAATGTTGAAAACAGCGACAATGAGCGCTAACTGTGAGTAATTTTAAATTTTTTTGGTGTTCTCAGCTTATTCGGCTCAAGGGTTAATATTTCCAAATTTCTTGTAAAACATCTTATCTGTTATATCATCTTTCCTGCTAATTAAAGTTACTTGATAGGTTAGGTTAAAGTTCAGAGATTTTTTGTTTGCCGGAGTGATTTACTGAAATGTGTATTTGTTTTTGGGCTCTTCCCTAATTCAAGTTATGTACTAATCTAAGTTGTACTTTCCAGGAAGGTCACTTGAAGGTTTTAGTGATATTTACATACATTGAGACGCTTTTATTTTCTTTGTCAATTTGCAGCATAATTAGTTTTTAATCCGTAATCTAAGAGCTTATATCATTGGTGATAGGAGGCGAATGGAATGATCATTGTTTTTCCCAATGCGACAGTTTAAAAATTACTCATCTTTTAATTAGACAATTATTGTTCGTTTCAATATCAATTTAAACAGTCCATAAATTTGAACTTCTGGGTCACTGTGGAGATTTGTACGTGTTTTGTGTGTTTCTGAAATGAGGATCATTGTGGAGATGATAGGATTCTAAAAGTTTATGAGAGAAGTTTCGTAAATCACTGTCTTATTCAAGATATTTACTGTATTAGTTTAATCAAAGTTTCGTTCAGTGTTTATATTATGCGCGTCTCCAGACACGGTTCGAAAAATGATGCTTGCAGCGTCGGAATTGAATATGATCAACACCGGAACATATGTGTTTATCAACATCGACATATCGACTGGGTTTGTTTAATATTTCTGATAATGATTTAAAGATTTTTGGTTGTATTGTTGTTTTTGTGTACTCCGTGGTTATTATGATGTTGCCAGCGATTTTAATATTTGATCTCTTTTTTGCTGTAGTTTTTGAGCGTTTTTGCCAGAAGTAACTGTGGTTAACTTACTGGGCCCGTTTCTAAGGTACCAACCAAAATTTGAAATAAAGTGTTGAGCGTTTTCTTAGAGGATTGGTCTAGTAAAGCCTTAATAAAGCTCTTCAAATTTGATTTATTTTCTCTTTCTTGTTATGGGCCATTTAACTTTGGGACGTACATATTTAAAGATGCAAATTTGAGAATTCATTTTTAAATTTGGATGACTAGTGAAGTTTGACGCAGATTTGCAAAACCAATGAGATTATTCTGAAAAATCTATTCCCAGCGGGAAAGATGCAGCAGAGGTGCGAAAAGAAATCCAGATCCTAGTTTAGTGCAATAATGTTTGAGAATTTTTCTTACCTGTGCACTTTCTATTAAATTTTGTTTCTCTTGGTAATTTCTATATCACATTTTTAAAATTAAGTGTGTTTCTCAAAATTACGTGGAGTTGAGGCACTTTGAGACAAAATTAGGATGAAGATTGAGAAAAAGTAAGTTTTTGAACGCTTTTTAGACATGAATTTTGCAGAGAAGAAGAAATTACAGTTTTTTTGTTTTGAAAATCACAATTCAGTTACAATTTTTTTTAAAGTAAAAAAGTTGAGAAGTGTAGTGGGTGATAAAAAGTTTAAGAAGTTTCAAAGCATCTCGGTTCCGAAAATATTTTCGTATAGATTTTCATCTCAGCATGATTTATAGTCTCTTCAGTTGGGGATTCAGTGATTCAATTTTAGAATTAAAAATATTTTGAGTTACAACAACTAGGGATGGATTTGTTTTTCGGTTTTCTACTCAAGATTTTTCCTTCTTTCACTTTAAAAGTGCAGTTTTTTGTAATCATCATTTAAGTCTTTTAATTAAAGAATGATTTTTTTGTGTAGACATGGATAATTGGGCGCTGCTGAACAACAGGATTTTGAACATCATTTAGAAATCGTTAAAATTCAGTTCTAATTTATAGAGTTTAATACCTTAAAGCGTGTTGGTGTTGGGGTTAAGCGACGTTTATTGTTTCATTTTGTGGGAGGTTTATGCCTTTCCTTTCGCAGATTTAGATGCTGTTTTCACGCGACATCCAACCTTTTAAAAAATTTGTAAACAGCGCTTTCAGGAGTGCTTGATTTAGTGTGCTTCTTTCTTATTGTGGCTTTCGGTTTTTTTGCTTTTATCTTTGTATATTCAGGGGTTTGAGGGCAGAATTTATTACCTTCTGTCGATCTATGTATCATACAGAATTAGAGGGTTCAAGGATCAGTGCTTTTTTTAAAAGTAACCTTGTTACCTTTTTAAATTGGGTTTTTTCCCTTTTTAATCTTCCTTTCTTTTCTGATTATAGAAATAGTTGATTTTTGAACTCCCGGCTCTGCTTTTTTTTGAAGAAGAAGAAGAAGATAATGTATTTCCGTCGTTTTCAAGTGTAATCTTGTAAATTTTCAGTGTGCTTTAAGCTGATATTACATCTTTACATTAAGCATATCGGAGTACGTAAAAAAGCTAAAAAAGCGCTTCTAGGTAATACCGACTTTTGCCTAGCTGTGTGCATGAAAGTTAAATAGTTTGAAAAGCATTTGTTAATTTGTGCTTTATAGTAATATTTTTTAGTTCTTTGACGAAAACACCTTGGGTTAGAGGTGATAAGGATGACGAGGCAGCTCGGTTGGCTTTCAGAGCTTTGAAAACAATATCTCTGCGGCGAGACAATCTTGATGAGTACAAACAGCTTGAGCAAGATGTTGCTCAACTCGCGGAGAAAAAATACAACTACAGTGCTCGTACGAACAAGTCTTACACCGTTAGTGTTTTAGCTGTTATTTAATTAGGTAGAATAAGCTTTGCTGAGCTTTGTTTCAGCCTAACATCGTTTTTCAGATGAACAATTTTATCAGCGCCTTTTATGAGGCTGTTTACCTTTATGCACTTGCTCTTAATGAAACATTAGAAGCTGGCCTAGACCCAAGAAATGGGACGGCAATAACGAGCAAAATGTGGAACCGGTCATTTCCTGGTATATTTCTTTATCTTACAGTAAACAGACCCTCTAATTTTTTCAAACTAAGGTTCGTTGTTTTGGTTGCAGAATATTTTTTAAAGTCTCGCTAGAGGGACTGTTCATTTTTTTAATGCGCTTGGACTGAAGTATTGTAAATTCGTTTTGTGCGATAATTTTTTACGGTAAGCAGTAACATGCATAACTTTTTGATTTTTGTTTAAGATTAGGGCTACTATTATTTTAATCTGTTGATTTAAATTGAGTGTTCAAAGGAATGTTCTCTTTTCGTAATCGCTGCAACGGAGTGAAATAATCTTTGCTTTATTGAGTGTGTTGTTTGATGAGAGGTAAGAATGCAGATTTCCTGTATAGGTGCTCACTGAATTCACTGAGTGGAATGTTAAGTGTGCGAGATGAGCTGAGGACGAAGCTGCTCATGAAGAGCGCGCCTTGCTAAGAATCTCGTATTATTGTTAATGCTTTCGTCCCCTCTGTTCTGCACTTCTTCATCAAGGTGATGTGGGGAGGTTTCGGATGTAGGAACACCATTCGTGCAGCTCTTACAATGACCAGGCGAGGATGAAGTATTTCAATTCTAGGCATAACCGGAAACGTTTCTATAGACAGCAATGGAGACCGATATTCTGATTATTCGCTATTGGATTACGACCCCGATCGGAACGAATTCGTGGTAAAGTCAAACTTTCAAAATATTTTTAGATTAAGAATATCCACTTGAATGTTAAATGCATCATTTAGTTGAGCTCGTTTCGTCGCTCTCTGAGTGTTGCGATAGTTCTGTGAAGGTGCTTCTTGAAGCCCTGCTTGGTTAAAGTTCTTCAGGTCGATATGCAGCTTTCTTAGAAATTCTTACATTTTTTCATTTTGTATAAGTGCCACGAATGGAGTTCTTAATTTGCTTTTAAACAATTTTTGTGCTCCAATTAGAGTTTGGCTGTTTATCAGAGGAGGCAGAACAATTATTTGCTTTTTTTATTTAAAATCTTCTGGAGTACACAAAGCGAAGGCGTAAAGCAAGTTATGTAAAGATCATTGTTACGCCTGGAGGACGCCAAGCAGTGAGAAGCTATCATAACATAGGAGGAAATTTTATGTTGCTATTTTCGTATACATCTGTTCACATAGCAGCAAAACCTTTTTCATAAAGTTTTAGACAGAGCGTCTAAATAATGGAGGCAAACCTGAGGGAGTGTACAGACGGTGAGTATGCATTGATATTGTTTTATGGGACTGTGCATTGCACACATAGCTAAACTGGAAAAATACGTCAAATCCTAGAAGCTTTGCATTTGATCTTTTACTGTGGTTAATACTGTTAGTTTTATGGAATATTTTGTGAAATTTTCAATTTATTCGGTCTCTGAATCTCTTCTGTCTCGCAACCGTCTCTTACTCTTATAAGTCATGCTAATATGCTTCTCGACGATTTATGGCTTGTTTTGGGCCGTTAAAGCTTTATTATGTTATTTCACCCCAATTGTTTCTTCAGTCCTAAAAATAGTTGCAGTATGTTTGGAGCGTAAACCTGGTCTACGCGATGGTAGGAGTTCCTGTCAGAGACTGCTTAAATTTTTGCCCGTTGAAAATCATGTGGTTTCAGAATGAGGCCTTAATCAAATCGAACTTGAGAACATAATTAACCGGGCTTCATTAAATGGTTCCTGTGGTATTAGCGCTACTTATCCGGTCTTTTGTGCCTTTAATGCAAATTTAGATCATTGTTATTGCTTTTTATTCATGAAGATCCGCTGTACCATGAGGGAACTATCTGCTTTTGAAACCGACTGCAAGGTTCTCTTTTTGTCTCATTCAGGTTTTAACAGCTCAAATGCTGGTCGTCTTAGGCAAATGGATATCCATAAATTTCTGTTGCTTAAGCTGTTGCCATCTCTCTCACTGAGCAGTTAAATTGTCGATTATCAACAGTACCTTTTACGTTTGGCGTTTTTTGTTCTAGGATATTTTACCACTCTTGAGCTTTAATAAGACGTACAGAACGATGCTTTTGTAATAGAAGAATCAGGTGGTAAACGGTCTTTGATGGCTTTGTAATCTTGCAAAAGAAGAAAGTAACTAATATTTAGCGTTCAGTAGCCGCGGAGGTTGTACTTCGAGAAGAAACGTTTGATTAATTAAGACTACTGTCATTTTGTTGTAATAGTAAGTAAATGTATTTCCTGCTACTGTGGCTTGTCAGAGTAGCATTACAGTGGGTTCTGATACTTGCAAACCCTGGAGAATTTTTTTGGTTTTTTTTTTTTTGTTATAATTCTATGAAGTTTACTTTATTATAGAAGATAAAGCTTTTGTTTTGTTTTGTTTTACCGCTTTTCGCCTTTAGGAGATTGCTTATTATTCTGGTCGTGAAAAAAGGTTAAAAAAAGTCCAGGAGTTACATTGGGTTAATGGCCATGCTCCAAAAGACTGGCCTGTTTGTGGATGGGATGGTTCACTTTGCCCGAAGCCCAATTACCTGGTCATTATTCTTTGCACAGTAGTTGGCTTTGTATTTATCGTTGTTGGTGCAACTGCAGTCTACTTTCAGAGGTTTATTTTTGCTAATAAAAGCAACTTTTTTTTGAAATTAGCTCTCAATTGATCATCAGTTCTGTGGTTCCTTTAATCTTTTTGATTTAGCAACTGCTTGCATCATGTTCATTGGTTTTTAGGAGGTATGTACTGGAAAAGGAGTTGGCAGCTATGTCATGGAAAATTAGGTGGGAAGACTTGACTGGTGAAGAAACAAAAAAGGAGAAAAAGAAGAAGAAGTCTAAACTTATTTCTGGTTTTTGGTACGAAACAGAGACACTTTTGAGGACAAACAGTAGAACATCTTCTGTTAGCGAAAAAGTTATTTTTTAATCTTTTTTAACTTTATTACGCCACTACTTTTGTTTGTGTCCTTCTTTAACTTTGCAGAGATCATAAGACAAAAATAAAATATGGTTTTTCAAAGTGCATCACAGGGTTTCTTCAGTGAAATAATTTACTAGTATTTAGAAAAGTACTAGTTCTGGCGCAACGAGGAAAATCTCAGCACTGATTGACAGGAAACTCGGTCAAATTTGGAGGAAGAAGTCACCTCAAGAAGAAGAGATGGAGAACCATAAGGACAACAATACGGATATTGATGTCTGGCAAAATTTGTTTTTTAAAAGAATATTTCTTTTTTTTAGAGCTTTTTTAAGTAAAAAAGCAGGTATTAACAGCTAAAGATTGTTTTAAATGTTCTTTTCGCTACTGTATAATATGAATTTAGCTTAATCAACTATCTATTCAACGGTACGCATCAAGTGAGGGCGTTCATTTTGCTGGGGAGTGTACTGAGAAGACTGAAAGTCGCATGAAGACGTCAGCGTCCATAAGTTCTGCTCCAGCAGATGCGCCTCAGAAAAAAATTTCAAGTGCTGAAGGAGAAGTCGTAGCGAAAAAGAGCCTTTCATTGCGCAATCGAAAGCTTTCGTTTGGTAATTTTAGTTGGAAGGTACAGGATACTTCCGGGGAATTAGACTAAGTCTTTTGATATAATTTTGAGATTTCGTGCGGAGATCTATTAGGAGCTTGGCTTCCCCATCATCAAAATGTAAAATGGAACTGTTTTCGTTATATTAACGCTGCAGTACCTTTTTTCAGAGTCTAGGTTCTGTAGAAACGATTCAGCAAACAAATACACAAATTTACACTAAAACTGCTGTTTACAAGGTAAATTAGATGTAGTTTTATCTTTTTTTAATTAGTATTTAATTTTTTATCAAATTATTTTTAAGAGAAAAGAATAATCGGTTTCAAAGTAACTGCTGCATATAAAAATTTTCAACAGCGTTTTAACTTCGATTCAATCAAGATTTTTTAAGGGAACTGTTGTAGCTTTAAAGAAATTAAAAGTGGATCCAAAAAAGTACCCAAAATTAGAACTGTCACGCGATCAGCTTTTGGAATTTAAAAAGATGAAGGATTTGCAAAGCGAACATATCACTCGGTAATGTTTTTCAGCATTTTCTGCAAACGCTAAAGTCGGAGATTTGGTTGTTTTACTGTTTTTTAGTCTTTTACTAACAGGGCGACTGTTTGTCTCTTTATTTTTTAAATTTTTAGATTTACGGGGGCCTGTGTCGACTGTCCACATTACTATATTGTACAGGAGTATTGTCCTAGAGGTTCTTTGGAAGATATATTGGAAAATGAAAAATTTAATCTTGATAAAATGATGAAATATTCTTTGCTACATGACTTGGTTAAGGTGAATTAATTAATTTAAGTGAAAAGATGTCAAGTAACTCCAATATTTTCTTGAATTTTCTTTTTCTTTCTTAATACGTTATAAATTATTTGGAAACTGTTAAAGTAAGGTGATGCGGACTGGTTTTAGGGGATGTACTTTTTGCATAATTCTTTCGTTGGATCGCACGGAAAATTGAAATCTTCCAACTGTGTAGTTGACAGCAGGCTTGTGTTGAAAGTCACTGACTTTGGCTTTGTTAAACTACATGAGCTAGAGGAGGTAAATGTGGATGAAATTGGAGAACACGCCTTTTATAGAAGTACGTTTTTTCAGTGTTGTAATACCATGAAGATGGTACTGTGTCAGTAGTTGAATTGTGTAATTCGGGATTTCACAGCTTTCTGCACACGGTTCTAGTTTAACTTAGCACTACTTGAATTCTTTTGTGAGTAACATGTGAGATACTTTTTGTAGCTTTTTTAAACACTGGAAACAGAGCATTGATGAAGTTTTTCGCAGTGTGACATTACATTCAGTCATTGCTGTTGCAGTCAGTTTTTATGGAGCATACATTCTAAGAGAAGTCTTAATATTCAACTATACTGTTTTTTACTGAGACGTTGGATTTTTTTGGATGTTACAGTTTTTTAGGGTATTACATGAACACAGTTGCTGTAATAGTACTTTACAGGAGTATAATTAGTATCAGAGATTATGCTTATTAGAATTGTCATGTTATAGACAAATTGTGGACAGCACCAGAAATATTGCGCAATCCTCATGATTTTCCATTAAGTGGCACGAAGTCTGGTGATGTTTACAGCTTTGCGATTATACTTCATGAAATGCTTTTGCGGAAGGGTACTTTTTACGTAAGCAGGGAACCACCTCCATCTCCGAAAGGTTTTTTTGCTATCTTTTGGTTTATAATTGCTAGACTTGCTGGTTTAAAAGTTCATTAGACTTTAGGTAACGTGACGCTTTTGTAAGTTATTTTTAGTAGGTCAAAAGGCGTTCGTGACATTACCAGTTTTCACTTTGAAAATACTTTATGAGTCCTGAACTCAGTGGTTTGTTCAGGAGTATCATTTTCAAACACAGAAGGTCATTTAGTTCGACTGTGCGTGAAGAGGTCTAGATTTTTAGGACTGTAATTTATACAACCATTTGAATAGGAAGATTAATAATTCAGGAGCTCCCTTATCGACTTAGTATCCCTGCTTTAAAATTGTTATCTCTTTTGCTCATCTTTTGTATTACAGTTCTAACTTTGTTTCTGGCCTGGTTATTTCAATTTGACTTTTTCAGTAGTTTTCACCCATGGTGATTTGATAAGATTGGAAAAGTGAAACAGTTTAGTCGCTGAATGGAAAATTTTTGCTAGAGTCAGCTTAACAATGAAATTTGGTTGTTTAAAAATAACTGATTGCTTTGCTAAGTGTTCCTTATTGCAAGAAACACCAAAGTAATAAAGTGGAGGGTATTGCAAATAGGCCTCTGGAAAATTATTATATTGATTTTAGTAATTCTTTAATATGAGCGCTAATGAGTTTTCATGAAATTGAGTCCCTAAAAGTTTTTTGCTCTGTACTATTACTGAAGGCTGTTTTGTTTTGTATGGGGTAAAATTTTGACTGTGCGATAATCCTTTGTCGTTTATGAAAAACTTTTTTTCAGTTTAGAGGGATCGAGAAACAGTTTAGAGATAATTAATGTTTACTTCCCTGAAATGCTTATAATTAAATCCGACGTGATTAGGTGGTTTTGTTTAAAACTATTAGTTTGTGATGGGATATTGGTAAAGAAGATTTTAACGTTTGAAACTACTCAGCTTTGTACGGCCACTGTAGGCGTGTAGTTGAAGAGAATAGTGGAATGTATTTGTCTTCCAGAATTGATAACTGAGGTGAAGCGCAAACCTCTGCGAGAGGAAGATCTATTCAGGCCAGAAGTCCCGGATTATCTCCTTAACAGTGATCAGGTCGATGATACATTGATTAGTCTCATGTGTAGTTGCTGGGCTGAAGAGCCGCAAGATCGACCTAGTTTTTATATGATTCGGAGAGTAGTTCGATCTCTCAACAAGTTCGTTGTTACTGTTATTCTGATATTTTTAAATCTGGTACCAACGGTAATGGTTATTGGGTCATAGTTCTGAAGTGTGTTTAAGGAACTTTATTGCGTAATTCTGGAGACATTCCTTTAGGTTTTTGCAGCTTGCTTATTTCTTTCATATTTGTTTCTTTTTTTTATTTTTATTAGGGCTCCAACTAGCTTCTTTTTTTCTTCTCTGATAAAGAGATTTCTGACTATGAACTGTTAAAACAGGCAGGAAGTTCATTTTATTTGAAGAGAACAAGAAGGAAGTTTATTCATTTGGCATTTAAAGGGCAGTGGCAAATTGCTTTTGTTTCTTAGGTTGTTCTAGTGTATTCATTAAGATTTCTGCCGTTCTGTGTGTTTGGTTAATATTCATTGAGTAATAGAACTATATGCACCCTGGGGTTGTTTATTATGGCTTTATCGATTTTTATCCATTTGAATATGAGGCTTGGGTTTAGGTCAAATGAAACTCAAAATCTTGTTGATAATCTTCTGATGCGTATGGAGCAGTATGCTAACAATCTAGAAGGTCTTGTCGAAGAAAGAACTCAGGATTATTTGAATGAAAAGCAGAAAGTAGAAAATCTTCTACATCAGCTTTTACCCCCTAGTGTAGCAGATCAGGTTTGAACATTTTTCTAAGCTTAGGAATTTTAAACAGCAATTTCAAAGCATTAACTGATTTTACATGCAGTTAAAAGCAACTTTAAGGTTCATATTCGAGAAAGGCTCTGTTGTTAAGTGAAATTTTAGCTGATAAGTGGTCAGTCAGTACAGGCAGAATTGTTTGACAGCGTTACTATTTATTTTTCGGATATTGTGGGATTTACTGCCCTGTCGTCAGATTCGACTCCAATGGAGGTAAATACTTCTGTTTTTGGGACCTATTTTTTATGTGTAGTCAAGTTGCTTCAGCTCTTCCTCGTTAAGGACCTGGTTATAGATTTTCAGTGAGAATTTAAAGGAATATATGCTTTTTTACCTTCGGAACAGTAGGTCAGCAGTTGTTTAAAAATTTGGTTTCATTTCGGCTTTGACCTCTCTTAAAGGTCGTTACGTTCTTAAACGATCTATATTTGGCATTCGATTTGGTCGTTGACAATTTCCGAGTTTATAAAGTAGAAACTATTGGGGATGCATACATGGTGGTATCAGGCCTTCCTGAACGTCATGATGAACATGCTTCTCAAATTGCCCAAATGGCTCTTGCTCTTTTGCATAGAGTGAAAACGTTTGTCATACGACATCGGCCGAAAGAACAGCTTAAGCTGCGTATTGGCATCCACTCAGGTTGCTTTTTTAAATTTTGAGTTCAGCTTTTTAATTCCTTTTTTATTACTCTCTCTTACTTTTATAATCATGGTGTTTAAAGATGAGAAATTTATTATTGATCATTCTGAAAGTGATCCTTTAAGACGTTTTTAGGGTCAGTTGTTGCTGGAGTTGTCGGGTCAAAAATGCCTAGGTATTGTTTGTTTGGCGACACTGTTAATACAAGTAGCAGAATGGAAAGCACGGGTTTACGTGAGTTTACTTTTTTTTAATTACAGCATCTTCTTTCTGTTAATGTATAATTTTTGTTAATTTTGTGTAGTGGTCTGTTTGCCGATTTTCTATTAATTCAACAGGAGAACTTTTTATAGCATTAAAGATTCACGTTAGCAGTCAAACAAAAGCAATTTTGGACAAAGATAAGGAATTCCGCCTGGAACTTCGTGGTCAAGTTGAGATGAAGGGTAAAGGTACACAAACTACTTATTGGTTAACTGGGTATAAAGATATGAACATTCCTGATTTCGGGTTGACGTGACTGCCAACGCAGGATGTATCTATAGTTGAAATGTTTCTGTTATTTGCCGTTCATGTGTTTTTAATTTTTTTATTCACTTTTGTTCCTCTTTGTAGTTTTATTGCTGGAAGAAGTGGGTGCTGGTATAGGCTTCTTCAGATTATTTCCCTTCTTTGTTGTGGTTTCTGAGTTAGTCGTATTTGGTTCCTTCTCTGCCTGAGGGGACCGCTTGATTTCAGCTTTTGTCAGATTACTTAAAAATGAAACTTTTTAATCGTCCTAATCGCCCATTTATATCATGGTTGTGACCTAACGTTGAGGCAGTATTACTTTTGTAGAAGCATGATTTTGTTATAAATCATGGCTAGGTTATTATGGAACCTTGTTGATTGTAGAGTAGTTTCTTATAGTTTTGTGACAATGCATAATTCTTTTGTATCTCAAATTTAAAAAACTTTGGTAGTTTGGTGTGGCAATTTCAGTTAAATATCAGTTATCGGTAGTGCCGAACTTGCCATTCTTAATTACTAATTATTGGTGGTTTCAGTTCTATAACTGATTTTAAAAAACGGGTCTGAGTAACCTTTACTGTCACTGTCATTACTTCCTTGTGTCTGTAAATTATTAATTGAATTTTGTTTATAGTGGTTTGTGAAGTGTTCTGTCACGGTTCTTTTTGTTTTAGGAAAGTGTGCCGGTGAGTTCAATCTTTCCTGTCAACTTAAATTACGAGTTTATTTGATTCGTTTGTAAATTTTGCGAATAAGTTTTTTTTCTTAGAGTTTTAACATAAAAGTTTCCTCATATTGGCTTATAGCTCGACGTATTTCAGCTGAATCGAAACTACTCATTTAGGCAGTGTTTCCGTAATAAATCCATAGGAAATATGGCAATTCTTCACCACTGTTTTATTCAAGCTGCATTGTGTTGGTGAAATCCATCAGCACCTCTCTTTAGAGCATTCTGTCTACGACAGAGTCTCATTTTTTGAGAAACGAGTTCCTCATTCACACTGCTATCCAGTGACTGTTTTGAACTAATTAATCGTTTTTTGAAACAACATTTGGATTATTCAGACTTTTGGTTTTCGCAAAAACCGAGTATTTGTGAAAGGACGAAATCTTAACCGAGTTACCTAGACAGATTGATGACATATGGATCAGAAGCGGTTTATATGCTAGCACATTTTTTTGAGTATTTTTATGCTTCAGTTTGATTTTCCAGAGTCCTGGTACTTTTTTGTCGCTCAGGAATGGATGGATTTCTTATCAATGGTGATTATGGCACAAGGCTCCAGTACAACCTAGGGATTTTTAAAGTTTTTTGAAGTTGAGGTTCAATTGCTTTACAACATACGGTTTGCACTGAACTGCAAATATTTTGCCGTTAAGTAAAATGCGAAATAACGGTACTGCAGAGTCAGAGGTAATGAGGGTCAAATGTAATTCTACAAGCTGGTATTGATTTTTCCTGAGGTCACTGTTGCACGTTTAAGGCATCAAATGAGACGAGCTCTGAGATTCCTGTCTATTTTGTAAAGCACGAAAGTGAATGTATGGAGTATTACAAAGACGATACATTTTCCCAACATACTTCAGCATTTGATCATTTTTATTGCTTAAGGAAAGCAAATACTAGTTGCTCTGATGTCGCTGTTAAAAATGTCGAGTATATCGTTGAGCATTAATATGTAACTGCTGTAAAGATAAGTGCAATTTTGAAAGACAACAAATAACAGTACGTAATGATATTAAGGATGATGATATTAAAAGAACTTACAGAGTCGGGCTACAAGCGAAGTGTGCACAAAAACTTCATACAGTAAAACGAATGGTGCAGATTTTAGATTCTAATTGTAGCTAATTATTACATAGAAATATTGTCAAATTAATAGAAATGTATTGTCAAATACTGTAACAAAGTTTTGTCCGCGTCATTTATCTAGATGCTTTGGTGAGACT